CAGTGTTTTTAAAAAGACAAGTTGGACATTTGGTTTATATCCGTATTAGGTGCATTTCATGTATATTTGCATATTAAAATGTCAACTGACGATTCAAAAGAACATCGGATAGAATCTGTTACGTTCGATATGACAGAATATTGAGAAAAAAAACAAGCAAATCTACACTGAATGCACGATTCACAAACATGGCTGTGTTCATCTCTTCTTTATTTAATTTTCTTAGGGATTTCCGTTTGTTTTGTCCTATTTACACAGTTCTGAATGTTGTTCGTTCAGTCTTTCTGTAGTATATTTTTCAGTTATTTCGCTTTTCACTTGACGCCTTCTTGTATAGTCATCTGATATTAAGGACAAATCGAATCAAGTCAGTGTTTACGGCTGCGAGTCTAGGCATTTTTAGTAAATAAGCACAAATGAAGAAATACATTGATTAGCTCCTCATCAATATCCGAAGTTTTCGCGCTCTTTTTTAATTTTTGTAGAATAAAAAGATTGAGGTCGGCAGGGTTCAGGTAGGGTCAGTCGAAAACCGGAAGCAGGATTATTATTTTTTGCCTTATTGTTCAAAATTTTCCCTTTTCTGGTGTGATGTCCCAACGTATTCCCTCTTCTGATGTGATGCTCAAACGTTTTCAGAATATTCTCTCTTCTGATATGATGTCCCACCTTGTTCAGAATATTCTCTCTGCTGATGTGATGTCCCACCTTGTTCAGAATATTCTCTCTGCTGATGTGATCCCTTAACTTGTTCTGAATATTCTCTCTGCTGATGTGATGTCCCACCTTGTTCAGAATATCCCCTTCTCTGGTGTGATGTTCCAACGTATTCCCTCTTCTGATGTGATGCCCAAACCTGTTCAGAATATTTTCTCTTTTGATGTGATGTCCCAACTTGTTCGGAATATTCCCTCTTTTGATGTGATGCTCCAACAATGTTGCCCAATTCAATTCAATACTATCAGCTCTGACTCAGGGATGTCTCTGAAAGACAGATTTGACTAAATTAACTTTTAATAAAGGTTGATCATAAAGAGACGCCCTCAAATTTGGTTTGATACATAGAGTTATAAATATAACTTTATGGTTTGATACACCACCAAAATTGTATGAAATATGACCAAAAGTCAAGCAAATATAGGTAACTTTTTATAAATTAACTGCTTAAAAGTACTCTTCACCTACAGTATTATGAAAAAAAAAATCGAAAAGATTCTAATAATATTTTGTTGAGCAAACGAACAACTGACGAAACCTTTTTTTTTTAATAAAAAAACGAATATCTCTAGTTCAAGGGAGGTTAGAAATATAAAACATAATTTTATCTCATCAAGGGAGGCAACCCTGAAACAAACTGTAAATAACATTTGAATGTTAAACAATTCTCCTGCCTTAGCCCAAATGGCCTTAAGTGAAAGTTTCGCTAACGCTCTGCAACACGGAAACTGCCGAGGTACCAGAAGGCATTGATTTATTGCGTTGGCCTCTTTGAGCCAGCGTATAATTAAATATACAGATCAATAGCCAAGCTCATACAATTATTGTATTACGAATCAATTCACATGCCTACATGTTAGTGTGACGTAGACCAATATTTTGACTTAAAAGTAGGTATAAATAAACCCGGCATATATTAACCTTGTCTTATTCAAAAGTAATCTCTCCAAGCTTGTGTTTTCACCGTGAAGGACACAATTTGATATTTTGCGGGAATAACAATCTTAAGATGAGAGCTATACAAGTTCTTCTCGGTAAGTGATTGGATATATACATTTATTTATTTTTGGAAAAAGAAGAAGTACTTTCAAAATTAGAAAAAAATGATTATTTTAAATGTAAGATTATTATTCATTAATTTAAACATATTTTGCAGCAGGCAGAGATAAAATAAAAAAAATATGTACATCAGAAAGTATATTAATTTTTTTTTTAATTTTGGCTTGTTAATATCTTATCTGAAGAAGACTGGTGCTGTATAATTAACTATATCAATAATTATAAAATTCAAAAGTGTTAAGGATCACATGTCAAATAAAGGCTTAAAGTTTTATTAAATTTATATAAGAATTTATTGTAGGACTACATGATTTTTGCAAGAATGTTGATCTAGATATCGTCAATCTATATATATCAAGATAAGATTTAAACTAAAGCTCCTATCGAGTCAATCTTATTAAAATTTGATTTCATATCTTTTTTGTTTTCTGGTAATTTTAGTCGACATTGTAATCTAAAAGGTTTTCTACCCAATGGGGTTAATTTTAACCAATCAAAGCGTGTCATGTAAAACCCGGTTTTTGATTTTAAAAAAACCAAATAGCTGGATAAAGGAAATACATTTAGTGGGATAGCGAAAGTACTCCCTTTGAGACCCTTTGTAGAAAAAAATTGACTAAAAATATCAGTAAAAGAAAAATATACGAAAATGCAATTTAGTTTTATTTAGTGTGCTATCAAGTAAGCTAAACTTTGGCGAGTTTTTTTCCTGAATTAATGACAGTAACTTAAAACAGGTAAATGAAATATCCAACATGTATGAGATCGTATCCATCGACAGCAATAGTAATATTTGAGATATATATATATATTAGAATTTATATAAATAATTGGAAAAACTGGTTTTTCATCCAGTAAAAAGAAATGTTACTTATTCACTGAAGCACGAATAACAAAATATCGGATAAGTAACAGATGATAGTAGCAATAAATGTAATGTTTATTATATGGTGGCAGGTTTAGGACTAAATTTAATAATATTTTCCCCTCTCATAGATTTTAAATCAGAGGGTAGTCATTATAAACAGAGCTAACTCGAAGAGTTTTAAGTAAAGCGTAGTAAAATTAAATGTATTGTCCATTTTATCTATTGGTGACATTAAAACCAGCTTTTTCGCGTGAGTTCTGGATTGCTTAGACCTCCTGACAAAGGTTTGATCAACTAACGTGATTAAGAATATTTTGTTCCTTATAAAACATCGTAAAGCCTCATTACCATTACCCACAGTTTTTATATATAAGAATTTAAATAATAACACATAATATTATTACTTATACATTGTTTTATTGAATCGTGAAAGTTATTTATAATAATCTACTTTCAACATAGGCCTCTTCATCACTATTGTAGAATTACTTCCCTTGAAGTCTGAAATTCGCACCAAGGCTAGCCTCTATCAACCAGCCCTTCTTTGTTTACGTACAGCATCTACGAAAGGAATAGTTCGGGCGTCGGAGACTACTTCAAGGCTAGCTGATAATAACAGGTGACATCATGATAGGCCTAGCATCAAAACTGCACAATGAAGAATGTCTCTATCTACCAGTACATCGTTAAACTTGAATATATTTGATTTTGTTGTAGGGTTATATTATTTTATATTCCTTTTATTGTATTTTGCCACCTTTCACGGAGTCACTTCGAGTAACTGACACCCCGGATTCCCCGATTTCATCACCGTCACCACGGGAAGCTTGCTGCTCGAGCAGTCAAAGTTTGCTAGTTTACCTGGGGTAATTATAAACTTTAAAACCTAGAAGAGGAAAAAAACTTTGATAGCAACTGTTTCCAGTGTACCTAATGGCATGTCACATGTGTGGCTAAAATATTCCGATGATGAAAGAGCAGATATTGTAAATGGCTATTTAATTATTAACCCTTACAATAAAAACTCGATACTGATTTAATACTCAAAGCTTCAACGGTTTTCATAATTTTATAACATCGATATTGACTCACGAAAAAAAAAACCTGCTGGTACAGATGGCTGAATCTGGTTGCATATTACCTTCTCAGTTTTTCGTACTGCACTAACACCCGTTCTTGATAGGTATGTGAACACTGGTGTTTATTTATATAGATTTCTCCACATATTGATCCACCGATGCTGGTTATTTCGTGGTTCTTTTTGAACCAAGTCCACAACAACTACAACAGCTTCCTTTATAGCCCCGTCACAACGGACTGCGACTATCTGCAATCTTGTAGCGACGGAAAATATACTAGGTCGCGGTCAAACGTGAGAAAAATTAAAAACAGTCGAACTCATACCCCGATTTATGCGACCATATCGCGTTCTAAAGTTTTAGTAGCGTCTTTGCTGTGCGTATTATAGCGCCCAAGGTCTGGAGTGTCCTATACACTTATGGCGACTTTAACACGATATGAACCAATATTTCGTCGCAGTGGCAGCGCAGTAAGAACGCCTTTCCGGTGTGTCAGGCAATATGGCAAATATTTCAACCGATTTCTCCCTTTAAATAGATATCCATATGATGTTATATACATTCACAGTTCTCACTATAATATCATTCTCCAGTAATAATATCTATTGTTCGGATAGATTGTTCCAGTTATTGTTATTCTAATAGAGGTCAACACTAATAATTATCTTTAGGATATTGACCGTAGGGACAATCATTATTTATTCAATTAACTCACATGCTTTGTGGGCTTTTTTCTGAAATATCTTCCATGTTAATAAAATGTTTATGGCCCCGACCCCGGAAAGGCGTTCTTACTGTGCTGCTACTGCAACGGAATATCGGTTTAGAGCGTGTCGCCATAAACGTGGTATAAGCGTGTGCTATCGTGCAATTATTGACGTCATTGTCGCCACTTTTCGCGTTTATTTTGGACATGGTTCGGCGATCTGTTCTGGAACTCAATGAGATTGGGAAGGTTGCCAAACAAGCGTTGTAACATCACCCTGAGTGGTATAAAAGCTCAGTACAATCGTAGCATAGACGCTGCAAAAGAGTTAAAACGCAATATGGTCGCAAAATTTGCGATATGAGGTTTTTAAGTTTTTTGCCATTTGGTCGTGTTGGATCACAATAACGTATTTAGCTTACTTTTACGATAATACAAAATATCCTTTTGTACGTGCGCTGCGTTAAATATAGGTTACGAACGGTTTAACCCTATTAATTTGTCTTATAACTGTATCATAAAATTGCCATCATCTAAAGAAACAGTATTATATGATCTGTACATATGTTACATGGAATTACGATTACAATCGACGTTCAATGTTGATGTTCTGAAATCTGTTAAATACCCTTTGACTGAAAAACAGATGTTTCAAGTTTCATGTCGTCCAGAGAGTAAGTTCTATTTATCGGGTGAAAAAACTTTCCGTAATCAATAATATGTTGTGTACTGCTTTTGATTCAGATGATAGCTTTGAAATGTTGCAAATTGAAAACTATCAGAAGTGAAGTACAGAATGGGTCACTATTTCATCTTCGATCAAAAGAATAATTTCCAAAATGAGTTTAACTTACACTAATATATGTATAAACTTAAGTCTTGTACTTGAGCCTCGTTACCTCTTGGAAATAGCCACTTCGAGGTAAATGGGGTAACAATATTCCCCTTGTTCAGTCTGATTTAAACATTATGCAAGCATGTTCACAAAATACGAGTTTTGTTTTTTTCAGGTTCAAGTTTTGGTTCTTGAACACTTTAGTAGAGAAAATTCTTCAATTGTTAACAACTTAAAGATGTTGCTTATCACAATAGGGAAAACTCAATCGAAAAAAAATCAAGATGTAAAAGTTATAGAAGAAATACAATTTGACTGAAAATGATCAGGCGGTTGCTGTTCTTCGAAATACCATTGCCTCAAAGTAGCCTACGTCTTTAAACAAACGTTCCCAGCTCGTCTCGAAGTGTAGACAAGAGAATAAGTTGTAAAAACAATATGGCCCTATGATTGGACTACTGAGCACTATTTTAACAGTGAAAATATTTCATTGCTGTATGATTAACTATTGATACATATTAACCTTTTTACAGCATTGTGTGTCACCGTTGGATATGTTTTGGTTAATGCACAACCACCACCACCACCACCACCACCAGGTGAACCCCCTATACCACCACCACCACCACAAGGTGAAGCCCCTATACCACCACCCCCAGGTCCAGGAGGTATTTATAATTTGCTTTGTATTCACGACTTTGACATCACGGGTTTGAAATTCACGGGTTTGATTTCGTAGTCGAGTACTGTCGAATGATATCAGCCATATTTTGCTTTCAGGATGTGAACCAAATTTTGCATGTGAATCGGCTTATCAGGTTGCAGTTATAGGTAGTTATCCATGCCAGTAAGTAAATAATATATCTTTTGTTAATGTAATAAATCACCATTGGCAAAGCAAGAATGTCTTTGCTTATTGTAGGTATTAAGGGTGAAAGCCTACAACCGGGTACACCAGTAACGGATCAGGTATATTTCAATGGGCTTCGTTTGTAAGTAATATATTTATTATTTAATAATCTTAGCGTCCAATTAGAAATTTGCAAATCAATTATATTACTGGTATACGAAGGTAGAATCGAATACTAACCGTAACGTCTTTCTCATTAGAGCCGCTCAAGACTTTAAGACGTGTGTTGATGCAGCAGCGAGTCTGTGTATTCCACCAGTTTCATCATTAGTACAAGCTATGGTATCAGGGGCAGCAGCGGCTGTGGCAGACAATTGTAATGAACTTCCCGCAGAATGTAAGTAATAAAAAACAAATGGTATATACAGTAAATACAAACATTACTATTATGATATTTTATAATATACGTACATTACATTTTTGTGACCTCAAACACTCTTAATATACTTCATCACCAAGGTTCTCTTGCCCTCCTAATGTGGTCTTTCAGAGTGTCTTATCGTAGAGTCATCAATGGAGAGCTATGACTGTGTAGTAGACCTAAAACAATTCAACATTTACTCAGAAGAGGCGATACAGAGATCTTGTTGGTATTTTAGCCTTTAACATCTTAATTTTCAGTACCAGCATGTGCTGAAATGTGCGTTCCTTATGAAGACAGAGCTTTGGGTGATTGGGCTGATTCGAAACAACAATCGGGTTGCGAGTAAGTATCTTTGTAATAATTTTGTGTAAACGAAGATATCTTAGAATATACTTCATTCAATGCAATTTATTTCGATAGTGTTCATTTCGACTTATTGGCCATCTCATTGATATCTGTCAATTATAGCAAATTACAATGTAAGTTGACTGCTTCGTGGGTCATTTTAGTTTTACTACAAAACCTTTTGAATCCGTGTCATACGCGACATTGTAGCATGCCACACTTATTTTACATAAAAATGGGGAAATAACGAAATGCTTTCTGCAATACATCAAACTTAATCCATTTCCTTTTATTTCAGACAATATGCACTCTACAGACAATGTTTACAAAACTATCATGATTCTGCTGATCCAAACTGCAAAGTTGCAAGTTTCTTAGCTGATGCAGTCGACAAATACAATACAGATTGTCAAAGTTCATAACTTTTTTTTCATTTCTTTTATTTGTTTGAAAAGAAAAGAAAATCTTAAAAATGGTGTATTATCTATAATGTAACGTTTGTTCCTTAAATGTAAAAGGGTAATAGCCAACTTGTTGTTCCGTTCATTTGGAATGGCAATCCTACCAGACATAATAGGATTATTCAGAATGGTACCACCAACTTCTCTCAGAAAATAAAACACACACGAAAGACGTTTGTCATACATTGACCAAATGCAATTTGAGGTTGTTACTTACCATAATTCCACATACCTAGAAAAAGACATTTGTTCATAAATAGAAATTGTAAGGCAAACAAAGCCCATAAAACCCATTTTAAATTCAACCAACCCCATTTTTGAAACTTAATCCCATTTTTTTTTCAAATTAGAAAATTGTACTGCTGTTTATGATGAATGCAGTAAGAATCTTCCCAAGCTAGCAGCTGATGAATCAAGGTTACAAGAAACATGTCTGTATGTTCTCATTTAAAACTAAACATTTAAAATACATTAACAATAGAAAGTTTTACTAAAATGTTACGGTACTAAACTTTTAAAAGTGGTTGACAGGACATCATAGGGTACTGGTCATGTTAATATCTCACCTTGTCGGTTGAATCTGTGTTTGAGTCTGAAGATATAGATAATAGATGTGACGAGCGGTTTGTCTGCAAATGAAGACCACCAGAAGTGGTCAGTACATTATCAAAGTTCTCCAATCCAGATTCGGTCAAATGAATGTTAGCTTAGCTCCCAACGGTACATTTGTCTTCAATTTTCAATAGTCGTACTTTTAGGATTTTGCGAAGGCTAGACATGAATAAATTCTTCGTCCTTTTATTTGAGACTGTTGAATTTTCTTACACTACAGAAAACCCCTAAAAGACAATAAGTGTCTGTCAACTACTAAACACTAGAAGATTTAGATATTTAGATTTGGTAAAACGAGTAGGGGCCACCGAATTGGCCGGGGAACTTACCTGCTGAGAGTACATTGCGGCATTCGGTGGGTACAGTGCGGTTGTCTTCAAGTGATCGTCCTTCTTGTAATTTTTCCATTTTCTCTAACAACCATACCACTCACCCTCTAATTCCTGAGAAGTGTACTAACGGAAATGTCGCTGATTGTGAGTGGAGAACCAATGGAAGTTTTTGCTGTATTAGAATTCTGTAGTTATACTAACAATATTGTTATATTAACAAGTGTGTTCTATACTAACAAAGGTATTTATTTTGATCAATTGAATATTTTTTTGTACATGCCCACATGAATTTGGCGTCACCCATGTCTGTCGGTCCAATCCATTCAAGAGTTAACAGTCCACCAACATTCAAAAGTAGAAAAGAAATTGCAAGATGGCAATGTATGAAAATCCTATCTCCGACGGGAGACCATTTTAACGTCTGTACTCCAGGGACAAATGTTGTCTTCAAGTAATCTTCAATCTACTGAAAGGATAAAATGAACTGTATCAAACACATCGTTGCGGTTCGCTGAGAGTAACTAGAATATAGCATGTCGATTCCAACCAAAGATAGAAAGTTAAACTCCATAAAAAATGCATATCAAATTATGTTTTTAATTTTGTTTTACGATTTCCCTCAATTACGGTGGCTCACATACGACATATTTCACTTTTAATTTTGAATTAAAAACATTAATTTTCACCTTGGTGAAAATAATTATCAGCTGGGTGAAAATTAAAGTTTTTAATTAAAAATTAATTTTCACCTAGGTGACAATTAATTTTCACCAAGTAACAAAAAAAGTTTTTAATTCAAAATAAAAAGTGGAAAATGTCGTATGTGAGCCACCGTACTCAATCACTATAAATTGCCTTCTACTGTACTTATATTTTTAATTCCATTTACAGATTGTGGTCTGTGTGTAAAAGGTATGATTTTTCACCATGTCAACAAACTCTGATGTTGAACTATGATACGAAATGTGGGTCTCCAGAAACAACTAGTGGTGAGTTGGCCTACCTTAGTTTATTTTGTGCTTTTGTTTTTGATTCGTGTAGGCTATGTAGTGATCATCAGAAAGTTATCGCTTTTGTTTCGTAAACACATTATCGACAATTGTTTGTGATGTGTGTTCTGATTTATAACTTCAAATATATTCCCAAAAATTTGAAGGATCAAATTCCTGTGACACAAACATCATATCTTTGGCATATTGATTTTCTTACATTTAAAAGAACCCAAGCAAAATGTTTATTTTTACAGTGAGTACTGCTGTATCTCAAACAGAAAGTATAAATAATAGTAATGGAGCTTCAGGAACAATCAATAGTAAGTATTTTTAGTTTTTTATCATATCATTTACAAATGGAAACTTAAACAGCTTCTTGTGTTCAAATGAAATACCTTGTTCAAAATCTTATTATTATAAGAGCTATTCTATTTGTAACTCTATGTACCAAATACATTTTCTTCGCGAGATTGGTCTTATACCGACAGACAAATCTGTGCAGTGTAATATGAGGGACATTTTGCAAAGACAACGTTATTAGATTACTCTTTTTAGATTTCAAACTGTCAATGGATCTTCAACATATAATGCCTGTAGCACATCACTTCAGCTAATACGAACTTCGTCCTATACATTGACTGCAATAGCCACCTTTCTTGCATCACCTAATGCAGTCAGAGCCCTCAATATAAAGACTGTAAACATTATGGCCTATCGTTTACAGACTTTCTGTCGAGAACTCTGATTGACTCAATACGCTAACGCGCAATCCAACCAAATTGTTGTATGAACAAACTTTCGTGATACAAGAAAAGTGGCTATTGCAGTTGGTATTGGGTAGAAAATGTAAAGATGGTAGAACACGGGAACTGGGTTTATTCAATTGAATTGATTTGCAAAACTTGGTCGAAAAATCCGAAGGTATGACTGTACCATAACTATCAGGTTAGCGGGCAATCGTCTAACTGACCGAGTCACTGCGGCCTTGGTGAAAGGGTACCGTTGCTATTGTACAGCACAATTCTTACTTCGTCAACTGAAAACAGGATAAAATAAAAATGTTAAAATAACTTCCTGCTTTCACAAACAACTGATAATCGATAGTATTTTACGTTGCACTATTTAAAAAGAATAGGTAATAAAAAATCCTTCTCTAAGGGCTTTCTTTGACTGTTTATTATCACGGGGGAAGTTTAGCTTCCAGTTCATCATCCCATTCTGTAGCCAATACTCGGCCCCTCCGTCTAATGATTTATAGAAACACCACTGATTCACAGTTAAAGCAGTTAGAGGTTATTTAAACAATACAGCAAATAATAATAATAAAATAATATTATAATTGCAGAAGAGTAGAATATCAAACTTAAAGAAATACTAGCTTAGAATGGACATAAAACTTAAAGGCTCAAACCTGGACAATAAGAGTATAATTTATTCATCAGTTGGAATTACCAGGTGCCATGACTAAAAAATGGAATTCATTATAAGACGATATTATATATATATATCAGTTAAACTAAATAATTACTGAAACACGTTTCAACATTTCTTCGTTTAATGGATTATTATTCAGTTTTTTTGGATATATTAGTTTATAGAATATATTATGGAATATTTTTGAAACCAAGTAAGTCGACTGACGAGCAAATCTGTTCGATTTAATCATTTTATTTCTTTGTTGTGTTTCTTTTTTTTTTTTGCAGGACTGGGATTGGTTTTCACACTTGGCCTAATTTTTTGTGTACATCTGTAAACTGTAAACTAATATATTATGTTGTATTGTGGAATGCAGTCGCGGCGCCAGTGGGGGGTACAGTGGAGACATTTGCCCCTCCCTCACTCCCCTTTAGAAAGTGGTTGCAGCCCCAATAAATTGTACCCCCACTTTATTTTCAACAAATCTAAATGTCTACCTTTTTTCTCCAAAATATGTGTCAGAATGCACAAAGTCAATTGTTTTTTTTCTTAAATTTTCTTGAGAGAACCTTCTAAGAGGCTTGCGTAATCATATTACCACTATGCATTATATAAAATTGTTTACCCAATACCAAAATCCTAACCATTAACGTATATCATAATATACCATAAAGCAAGATTAACATATGATCAAAAAAAATAACAGATATTTTACTTCAAGGGAAATAACTTGTACTGAAATACTATTTTTCAAATATGTACAATTTTATCATGACTTCGATCATTTCATATTTCTATGCGTATTTCGATTTTCTTTTATGCTTATCTGTTCGGTTCTCAAACTATATCTTCTCCAAATGCCATGAATGTAATTTTTCTTAGAATAAATAAATAAAAAATTATATGTTCTGCTATACTAATCAGGAAAAAACGAAGTTAAGGGTTTTACAAAAGACAAACCGAAAAACATTTTACTTTTATCGTGTTTCCTACCAACCAAGATGAGAATTGCAGTCAATAGGATGATATGTAACGTGTCAAAGGTAGTAAAGCAGAAAGCGGCGTTCAAAGATAGAGATATTTCTTTCCCCGGCAGCTTGGTTTACTGGTGTTCGACGGATGCGTTATGCTACTTCAATTGTTTATACTTCAGAGACAATGTATTTGGCGAATACCGCCAAACAATTATAAATGTACATGTATTTAATTAATTGAGACTAAAACCATTAATTTTCAGCATTAAAGCTTCATACTCTTTAACAATATTAGTCCAAAATCAAACTGTGTGGATTATTTTATCAACAGTAACAGTACACCAATCATGCCAATTACCATTCCCATACCTAGAATTATAGAACAACATTGTCACTTAAAGGTGATAATAAAATTATATTCTTTAATATAGTCTTCCAATATTATCATATTTCCGCATGGGTGACATCAGTCTGAGATTCTGACAAAGATCAAGATTCAGAGTCAGATTTCTAACACAGTAAAGGTTATGTTCTTTGGCACGCTATATGTTCCCGTAATTCAAATGCTAGAAACAGGTGGTCGACGCAATTTTGCAATAGTCAGATCATCCTGGTATAATTCCACCATTTTCCCCTCTTTAAAACGACTTCAAAATAGAAATTTGTCTCGAAGGTTGTTTCTTTTTTTTTGTAATTTTTCT